CTTTTTCTTCCTCACATTGCATGAAAATGGTGCTCTGCTTAATAATGTGGAACACCCTCCTTTAGTAGTTTTTCCTTAAATTGGGCTCACCTGGCAATCTAATAATCACAGGTGTCCGAGATTGTTTTCAGTGATCAAAAGAGCCATTCAATGCCATCCATGAGTTTAACTGAAAAACAAAATATTTAATCTTTTGTGACACTTAAATAGAATTTGCATAATAATTTGGAACAGGGTGTAGTGGTCCTTTAACCTGCACATGGTCTATTTTCTAGGAACAATCAATTAAAGAGGATTATATATTAAGTGTAGTTAGTTTTAGTGTGAGTTGCAAGAGACCTAAAAAGTTGTAATAATTTCATTGTAAAGGGAATCATCCATTATGTTAAGCTAGTTTATTATGAGTTACAAGGGATCCAGAAAATATAATTATTTCATTGTATTATCCGAAAGGGCTTATTAGAGAAATTTCAAGGGTTAATTCTTATAACAGATACGAAAAACGTAAAACGAATATAAAGTGATGTAGCAGCCTTAAATGTGGATATCAAAAGGTAATATAATAATTAACATACTAGATCTTATTTTTAGAGACAAATAATGTAAATAATTAATTGTATTGCAAAGGGAATTACCCATTAAGTAAAGCTAGTTTATTATGAGTTAAAAGGGACCAAGAAAATATAATCATTACATTTTGTTATCTGAAAGGGCTTATTAGATATATCTCAAGGGTTAATTCTTATAACAGATACGAAAAATGTATGGGGAATAAAAAGTGATGTAGCAGCCTCAAATGTGGATACCAACAAGTAATATAACAACTAACACACTAGATCTTATTTTTAGAGACGAATAATGTGAATAATTATTCACTATGTACGGAAAGTGTCTCGTAAATGTGCAATCTTGCGAAAAATATAGGGACACATAAAGAGTAAAATGGTGTAGCAGCCTGAAATGTAAATCCCGATAGAATATAATATCTTACACTTACAGTCTTATTTCTATGAACGAACAGTTGAATAAATAATACACTACAAACAGGATAAATCTAACAACCTATTCTAATTATATAGCTAGAAATTCATGTCAAACGGTGTACTCTAATAGGAGCCCTAACTGTAAATAACGACAAAGGATGTAATAGCTCTTACTTAAAAATATACCTGGAGGTTACAATAAAAAATAGTAGTGATGGGGGCGGGGCTTGGACGCCATTCTTGAAGGTCGCAGGCAGATTGAGCTCCTGCCTAAAATCAGTGTAAAAGTGCTCTAAAGGGGGCAAACACCCCAAAACAGACTATACCCACATGTGCAATCTTAACCTGCATTGCTGGAATAATTTTGGAGCGGATAATAACTCCTCCACCCTCGCAAAATAGCAGTTGCGGCCTCCATCCTTTTGCGGCCTGGTGCTGCCCTGACAGGAGAAGCGGACGCTCTCTACGGCAGGGCGACCCGGCATTTAGTCCAGTGGTCAGTCTGTGCCCTGTACTCCCCCCCCACTGGGCCGGCGGGGGATATCCCGGGCCCCACAAGGTGACTACTCACCTCTGCAACGCATCTAGGCGACAACAGTAAAGACGGCACACATGCGGCCTCCTCAAAATGGCCGATGGCAAACCTGCACAACCTAACCTGCAACACAGCAACTGGGATGCAGAATTCTTGCTAAGATTTGACAATATGTGTCAGCAGTATTGGAGAGGCTGGGAGGAATGGCGAAAGCCACCTATGATGCCTGCACCCATGGAGCTACCTCCAGACAGAGCTCTGGAGCTTCAGTGCCCCCCTCCTGAACTGGAAACCCAGAAGGTTCAAGCACCTACCCGCAGTCCACACTCTGAGAAGCAGAACAGTCGCCCAGGACTCCGAAGCCCTCCCACAGGGACGGTGAGAGAGGCTTATGGACATGGGAAGCAGGATCCTGCTAACAACATGGGCTGTGGGGATGCTGAATGGCGCGGCAACATGGGAGGCGAGAATTCCATGCTGTCTCTACCCGCACTCGGTCTGACCATCACGGGCATAGGCTGAGAGGACTATCTTCAACTGGTCTGATCAGGCATCCAGGCTATGCACTTACATTTCATTTTGTCATATCTGTCTTCCCCCAATACCTTGATTCTCCTTTTATAAGCCCCTTCACTTGCAACCAAAGTTAAGGTTTGCATATTAAGCTAATATGTTTATATAGCTAGGTGGTCTCACTTTTCAGCATATGCTGGCATTGATAAATGGTCATTACTCATTGGCATAGGGCCCTTAATCTAACTCAGCATTTACAAACCGTGCTTTCACCTCACGCTTTACACAGTTAACCCACTTAATCCAGCACTAGAACTGTATCTATCTATCTTGCATAATTTACATAAAATGTGCAGATTAAGCTATACTGTTTTATTCTCGCTTGAGTTGACATGTTTAAAATGACTTATCTTGCTTAACAGTATGACTTGCTGTCATGTACCATCCATGCACAACCAAAATAAAGGATTTTAAAAAAATTAATAAATAAAAAATAGTAGTGATAATCTGTTAGATACAAGTACCTTAGGAGTAGCAGATACATATACACGCGTGGATACGAAATATAGGAGGAAAGGTTACTAAAAACTATAAAAGCAATAGGTTAAAAAGGTATTTTACAGGTGGCAGATATATATGCACACATAAAAATGGAATAGTAAATGTGAAAGGGAATATTACTAAAAAATATGTTTAAAAAATATATAAAAATATCAAATACACTCTGGGTTTTGGTTGTGTAATATTTTAAAATGGTTAGAGACACTATGTTTCTCCAAGCCTTTCTGGATGTTACATATATGTTCTCTAATTCTGAAGTGTAAAGGTCGAGTTGTGCATCCTTTATATCTAAATCCACAAGGGCAAGTTAAAAGATAAATGAAATTTTTAGTGTAACATGTCATAAATTCTCTAATAGGTATACATGTTCCTTCATTTAAAATAATATCATTAATAACTCTTCTAGAGGGGGGCGGGGCCTGACCACAGAGCTGTGAAAATGCTCATCACAGCAACTCTAAACGTGGCATTTAATCTTAATTCTAACGACACTTAATGGAGAAACTAAAGCTACCACTCGAGAGCAGACACCGAGGTGAAGAGAAAGACACCTCTCAAGCGACAAACGGAGCATAAATCACAGGGGAGTTGCGGGGGAGGCAGCACTGCCACGCCGGAAACCAGAATGTGAGCCCTCGTTCCCCCCTCTCTGGACTGGTGGGGGTCATCCCAGTCAACCCCCAACTGACTCCCTGGCAATGCAAAGGGCCAACATCGGCTCTGTGGAGCACAAAATCGACTGAGCCTGTGGTTCCTAAGATGGCGGAAGCCCCTCACACCACCGATACACCTAACGCATGGCGGGAAACGGAGAGGCGGCTGAACAACACATTCGCCGCTTTTTGGGAGCCCCTGGAAGCTGAAAATGAGATCATCGGAGTCTGTAGAACCACTCCAGAGTACACCCCAGAGCTCCCCACAAGAGAGCAGACGGGGACAAATTGCAACACAACCCACCAACAAAAGCAGCACTAGGACGACGCTACCCTGCATAAGCCGGGGCAGAGACAAGGCACAAGACCCAGGGAAGCGGCAACCAGACGACGGCGAAGGGTTAAGTACT